TTTTGTATTATATTAAATATAATTATATATATTATAGTATAATATAATATAGTAGCTTTTTAACTATCCATACCAATTCAATCTCATAATTTATCAAACGTTATTATACTGATTTTGAAACCAGCATAGCTACTATTATTATAGTTTACCAAACACTCAGTTACTTTTTGTAACAGTGCTTCTTCCTTCAGCACGGTTAAAAATAATTTTTTCAAAATTTACAGCACTACCAAACTAAGCCAATGAATGAGGAGATTCGAGATGAACTGAAATTATTGGGGTTAAAAAAGAAACGACAACAACACAAAAAATAATAATAATAATAACAACAACAACAACAAGAAATTTTCAAACGACAGTAAGAAATGAAAAACACATAAGTGAACAACGACAAAAAAAGAGGAAAACCAAAAGAAAAATGTCGCCAAAAACTGAACACTACAATAAACAATAAATTAGTAAAATGACAACAGCCTAAAATTAATTAAAAAAGAAGAAAAAAAACAAGAGCCTTAGCGGGAACGAATGAGACATGACAAAAAAGCAAATGAGAATATGGCAAAAGTTAAAACGACAACAAAAGTAAAACCGTAAAAAAATAAAATAAAAAAATCAGACTTCTGATAGGGTTAGGGTTGTTCATGGGTTGGGTTGGTGCGGGGTAGGACTTTTTTTTCCCCGCCCCAAAGGGTGCGGGTTGCACATATTTGGCCCCAACGATGTTAGAAAAATTTCACAATCCAACAATGTTCGGGTTGGGTTGGGGCGGTACGGGGTGGGTTGGGTGGTCGATTTCAACATTCAAAAAATCAAAGACTTAAAGTTCAATATAATATTCAAACTTCATCATTAAATAGAAATAGCAACCATCCTTATCAGTCCGGCGAGAGAGCACCGGAGAAAGTGGGCAAGACGGTGGCCGAGAGGACTGGGCAATGGGGAGAGAGTTATGAGGGGGTTCACGGGAGGGGAAGAATAGGGAAAACTGGAAAGGAAGAGGCAAGAAGAGGGGGTTCACGGGAGGGGAGACCGAGAATGAGATTGTGAACCCTAATGTTAGCGAGCCTAGGGTAGAACTTAGGCAGTTCGGCTTAGGCCGAAAGCTTGGGGGTATGTTGTGCGGGTTGGGTTGGGGATTGCGAGTTGTTATGGGCCCAATCCGCAATCCGCCCCAAACACTTCGGGCCAGAGGTATAATGAGCTGTAAATTTAAAAATAATGCTGCGGCTTGCTTTTTTCAGCTTGGATTTGGGCGGGGTGGGTTGGGTTTGCGGGTTGTTCGGGTTTATGAACAGCCCTAGATAGGGTTAAATCCTCACTCTTTCGTAAAAGTTGGGCTCCATAAATTGATTCTACATGAGTCTCATAAATGGAGCTCACTCTATGTAAGAGTTGATATATCCCCAACAAATTATACTACATTTTTCACTTTAGAAACAATGGCAACGTCAAAACGGGAATAACACAACAACAATCATATAAAAAATAACAAAGACACAAATGAGAAAGCGACAAAAGAATTAGATAGCAATAAATGAAAAAAAAAACAAAATCTATATCTATCCATACCTAAAAACGAAGGGAGAATATCTTGAACGGTATATCTATCCAGTCTTGCCCAGTTTGAACATCAATATTGTACTTTTGACTTCTGAGCGCATATTTTGAACGGTAGTCTCTAGAGTGTACAAAGAGGCATCAGAAGAGGTGGAATTAAAAGAGTCCTCGTCATTGCAATTATGGAGAATCTGATTGGCACAACGTTTAACACGCTTGGAAGGATTTTCTACTTCCACATATTTAATCCTCATTGACGCCGGCGTAGCCGTCGTTCGGTTCATTCTATCGCCAACGCTATTACCTTCAGTTTTGCTAGTCATCCCATCAACATGCATGGCTAATGGTTTCATTCGTTGTTTGCTGCTAAAGTCAATTTTAATCAAGTAGTTAGTGGGTTAGGTTCACAAGTGAAAAGGTGGCTCTGATTTCCCTGCATTTACGTTGGAAGCAATGAAGACAGGTGAAAAATGCGAAAAAGAGAGCCAAAGTCAAACGCCTTGCATAGTTCGGTAATTAAAAAAAAGATATTCACAGGGATAGGCATGCAAGAAATGTTAGTTGCCAAGTCAGAGGTGAGAATGAAGGATTTCAAAGGAAAAGTTTCAAAGAAAATTAGAAACTTACCAATTTTGAGAAAGATGTTGGAAATCGTCACAAAGTGGGAAGGATTTCTTCAAGTGATGAAGCACCCGTAGATTTTTCAATTTGAATTTATAAGGAAGTTGTTCAGAATTGTAAAAGTAATGAGAGATGATTTTCGACAATAAATTTGCATATATGTTCAAAATATTCATGGATTCTGCAGATGTGAGCCTGTCGCAAACAAGGAAAGAAATTTTAGAAAATCTTTATCAAATCTTTGACATTCATGGTATGTTGGGAAGGGGAAACAATGTTCGGTAAAAAATATTCTGGGCAGGTTTTAGTCCCCTTCGCTTGGCGTGTGACACTCGTGGACTGGGGGGTTGATGTTGGGCGGCATTTTTAGAATCATTAAATGTGTAATCAATTCAAAGGCTCGTCGGAGCCCAAGCTCTCCCGAGCTTAAACTCGTAGAAGCCCAAGCTCTCCCGAGCCCAAGCTCGTCAGAGCCTAAACTCGCTGGAGCCTAAGCTCTCCCGAGCCCAAGCTCGCCAGAGCCCAAGTTCGCCGGCGCCCAAGCACTCCCGAGCCCAAGCTCTCTTAAGCCGAAAGTTTAAAGGTCACGTGATGTTATCAAGTGAAGTAACTGACGCTAATTGAAGATATTGAATGGCTCCTGAGCCGAAAGTTCAAAGGTCACGTGATGTTATCAGGTGAAGTAACTGACGCTAATTGAAGACATTGAATGGTTGAAAGTTAATTCTCATTGATTATTTATCAGTTTTAACTCACAAAAAGGTGAAGAGCCTCATTGTAATTAAGAGATAATAAACTCTAGAATTAATGAGAGAATTAAACTCCCTCAATTCTAATGTACTATAAATTCCCTCAAGTTGAGAGGGAAAGAAGGACACTCATTTCTGAATACAATTACTTTGTGATTGTCTTCGTTTTGTTTTTGTTATTCCTTCAGAGGATCTTTGTGTTCTTCAAGTGTTCTTTCAATTTCCTTAAATAATTTGCTTATTCAATCCAAATTATTAGTCTAAGGACGTTAGATAAGTGTTGGACAAAATTTTACTCCAACATTTTTGGCACTAGAAGGAGGACGTAGCCATCGTCGGAGCCAGCAGAATGAAGGTGGGGGTCAATCCAATAGGAATCAACCAAGGGACTTGCCCGAGCCGCAGGAACGACGTGAGGCACCTAGGTGTCGAAATGCTTTGTCACAGATTGGGAGTCATCACAATGCAACTGAAAGAACTAGGACATCGATGTTTGACTGGATAGAACCTAACTGTAAGAGGGAAAAAGTTGATAGCACCTGGACACCTGGGTCTGATGATTTCACCACTACTGATTTACGAGATTGA